TGACTGCCTGTCACTGACATGCTGTGTGTCTTGGAGAGAATCAGATACAAGACAGTGGAGATGGAGAAAATGTGTAAAATAGCATAAACTAAAGAGCTGTTTATGTCTGCAGAACAACTATACTGAATGTAAATAGTTCTGGAGATGTGGTAAAAGATAAATGGACATATGAATTGTGAAATGGCTATGTCATAAATAACCCAGTTATATCATGTTAAGGAATATTATTATTTTATGCCTATATATAACTGAACAATAATTTCAGTATGCAAATAACTTGATCAGATCTTTTTAAGTTCTTTGTATCATGCCACCAGAGGAAATTGAGGCAGGTGAGCAGTAAGTAAGGGCATAGGAGCTCAGGTAGATGGGGGAGATAACTGGCAAGTCAAATAATCAACCAGGAATTACTGAAAAGTTTGATATGATCAAGGAATAAAAGAAAAGAATTTAGGGTAGCTCAGGTTTGTAAGGAGTATGGTTTTTCCTCCCGCCGCCAGTCTTGTCCCGCCGCCAGTCTTGTCCCGCCGCCGCGCCAGCCCCAATTAATGCACAGAGACTCTGTATTTGATACAATGCTATTGGCCAGGTACTAGTTTCTTAACAGCTAGCTCTGTCTTAAGTATTAACCCATTTCTATTAATCTAGTATTTCCACGTGGTCTTCTCTTACCGGGAGCCGGCTGGCATTCTGCTTTCTCCAGACTCTCCATCCTGACTCCTCCTTACTACTTCCTCTTTCCTCCTGGTCTCCTAGTCCCTCCTACCTTCCTTTCCTATTGGCCAACATATACAGAACATATATAGAATGATATCTCCCATCACAGGTTCCTTGATTGTGTGTATGTTGAGGTGTGTTTTTCATGAAATGTGATAGTGAAAATAGGAAAATGGACAATTTTGGTTAGTGGCATGTGAGTTTGAGCTAGGATGTGATTTATGTTTAGGGAATCAACAGCTTCTAGTATTTCAGACTTTTAGATGTCAGTACAAGTACAAGTATACATAAACATCTTTATATTTAAGAATGCACATTTGATATAAGATTATAGCATGTGATTATAAGCAAATGATTTGATTTTTAAAAAATAAAAATGGGAATGACACTAACTTCTAGGATTTTTTGTGTGTGAAATAAATGATGTAATTTACAAATTTATAACAGTGTCATTACCCTTTTAGACATAGAGATAGACAATGCCTTGTTTTCCATACTGTCTCAGCCTCCAGATGTTGGCTTACAGTCATGCACTGCCTTTCCTTGCACTTTATAAAGAATATGTGACCTCACAAAGCAAGAATTAAGGTAGGGGACTGAAAAAAACCTAAATGAGTGATGCTTCCTTTTGTTCTCTTTTCTTTTATTATCAGGCTAGAGCCTCATAATAAGCTCTTGATTACTTAGAAGCATCAAATTGCCCTTAGGCTGATCTCTATCAAGAGAGCTGGCTTTGGAGCAGGTGTATGTAAACACTGAATGCCATTTAGATGCAGAGCCCCACCCCAGGAATGGGTTCTATGAGCAACATTTATTCAGTTACATTCTTCTGGGGTGTGTGTAGAGACTCTTATCAGTTTCTCAAAGGGATTTGACTTCCCAAAGGGTAAGAATTGGTAGAGACAGTATTGACATTGTGAGGGGACACAGAGTTACAGATAGCATGGATGCCCATGTTAGTGCTGCTTTCTAAGATCCTGAAGGGGAGGAAGAAAGACATGAAGCGAGGCACTATTAGGAAGAAAAATAAATGAAATTAGGACCAAACTTTTACTCACATTCTTAGCATTCAAGATTTACTTTATAGTCAGTGTTCATAGAAGCCACGAGATGGCGAGCTTGTTCCTCAGAGTGATTGTAAGTCAGATGGGGGTGGGGGAGCAGGAAGAGAGGAAAGAGGAGAGACAGAGACAGAAAGGAGAGGACAGTGTACTTTTCTACAACTGCCTTAATTTTCCTTACCTCCTTAATTTCAACACAAGAAGAATTGATAGATTTTTTTTCTCTGTTAACTTTGGATCATGTTTAATATTGTAAAGATAAATTAAAAAACTGTTTAGATTTCATATTCAGATCAATAATTATAGTTTTCATGTTATCAACAGAGAAATCTAATTGAAAATCCTATTGTCCAAACTTTTGACATTATTAATAACATTTAAATAGTTAAGTATTAGGTAAAAAGAGAATAATTTTTGGATCACACACATACATGTATATACACACGCATAATTACTATTATTATGTTTGTACTTGAGACAGGGTCTTTATGTAGTGTAGCTGTTTGGGAACTCACTTGTAAGCCAGGCTAGCCTCAAGCTCACAGAGATTGGCCTACTTCTGCCTCCCAATTGCTGGGATTAATGATGTGCAACCACATACCCAGCTTTATTATATAATAATATTATTATTACCACATTTTTTTTGTCCAATGAGCAAGTGCTAAGTTCCAACTTTAAAAAAAAATTCCATTTTTTTTTTTGTGGATGTCAGACAACTTAATTTAAATATTTAGGATTTCTATTCTCATTACTTTGACTTACCTCAAAGTAGCATATTTTTTATGCTATTCTAAATATTGGATGGAAGAATGTAAGCTAGTATATTATTGGTGAGTTAATATATATTTATTGATTAATATTTAATGTTCAATGTGAAATTCACTCTGCTTACACTGTGCAGTCAAGTTGATTGTGTGAGATAAATGTTAGTACAGTTATTGAGGCTCAGGGAGATTAAATGAATTTTTGATGATTTAATAGTTGGCAGAACCAGAATTTGAATCTAAATTTTTTTCAACTATAAAGCTTACTCTGTTTTTCTTTGTACCTACTATCTCCAATGTAACTGTTTTTTTTTTTTTAACTAGAAACATTTGGAAATGACAATTTAAAGTAATTAGGGTATCTGTGCTTCACTCTTATTATGAGCTGAACAAAAAGAATTTACATCACAAGGCAACTGGTTTGGTATGCTTTTATTTTATAATCTGTTTGGTATTTCTTTTGAGCCTATGTGTCTGCAAAATCATCTAGAAGATTCCATTTAGAGTTGTGCTGATGCTGAGAGGCCTTAGTTACTCTCATCTGAGGATTTGGACCTCTGGCTAGTAGCACATATTGATTTTCCTAAGGTTGCACTCATTGAAACCTCATCCTCCTTGTGACTCCTGTTGAGTTCACAGGTGGTTTAGCAAGCACAGTGTTTCTTCTGTGTTCCAGCAGCTTTGCTCTGCTCCAGGATGATGTTTTATGCAGGGAATGACATTGCAGCAAAAACTGAAGCCTGCTCTAGTGTACCACTTACACTAGGTGCACTGAAATCCATGCACTCATGCTTGGAAGAAATTTCCAGGTTGCTGATTTCCACTTTGTTTCTTGTGTTACTATGATCTCTTCATAGTCTCTCCCTGCCCCTTTTTAATGCTCTAAAGAGTAATAGTTAAGAAATGATAAGCTTTGTTTTTTTTTCACCTGAACAAGGACATTCAAGTATTTTTTTTTATTGTATTTTTTTTTTCATACAATAGTTGTAACTGGAAAGAAGATTGGGTATAGGGGATGATGGTAGGGCAAGGAAACTGGATTGACATGTAAAACAACCTTATTTCAAATTTAAAGGGAAAAAAAAAAAAGAAAAACAGATTGGTTATATATAAGTGAGGATTGAAACTAGATGATAGACATGTTTCATGTGAGGATTTTTATGCACTGTCATTTCTATCAGAGACAATTTATGGTAGCAAATATGTCTGGATAGATTAACTGATGGTTAGATCATGTGAACACTTCTTTTGCTTCTTCATGTAGTTTATAGGTTGATCTTAAAAAAAAAAAACTAATTGTTTTTGAGTAGCAAGTATTTATTTCTCCACTAAGTGTCATCAAATATTATTCTAGAGGCTGAGGATATGGCAGTCAATCAAATAGAAAACATTCCCAGAGGTTACATCTCAGCATGAAAGAAACAACTGTAATAAATAAACAAATATATTACACATCTTTGAGTTAAGAGCTTTGAGCACAAATTGCATAGAGTGTAATGTAGGCTGCTTTCTACAAAGGGCCATTAATTTTTTTGTTTGCTTTTTTTTGTTGTTTGTTTTTTCTTGTTTTGCTAATGAAATGTTAAAGTCAAGGCCTAGAGGGAGGGAAGGAAGGGATGAAGCAGGGGGTACTCCCCAGTGTCTGGTGAAGCAAGTTCCCAAGAAGCCCTTTCTAGATACTTACAAAGCAGACTATGTATATAGAGATGTTGGAAAAGCTCTTCATTTGTTCATTCTCTGGGTAATAAGTGGGATTTGGAGACAGAATCCTACAGTTCCTGATACAACCTTTAGTATTAAACAATAAAAACCAAGACAGAAAAAAAGGAGGAGAAAAGAGCACTCATGATTTTTGATTTTGTTCTTCCTTTCTGAACAAAAAAAGTCAGAAATAAAAAAAGTGTTGTACTTAAAATGACACTGTTCAGTCATAATTTTTTTTTCTTTTCACACAAGGTCTAGCAATGTAGTATAGGCTAACCTCAAACTCTGGGTCTTGCTTCCTCAGCCTCCTGAGTGTTAGGGTTACATGTTTGTACTGTACCATCACTCCTAAAATGTGTATATTTTAAAATTTGTCACTTGTAACTTATTTGCTTAGTTGAAAAATAAGTAAACGTAGTCTATGTAAATGCACTTTGCTTCATTCTGTGTACGTTCACCTGGCTAGAAATGGTGTCTTGTGTGCTATCTTTCTTATTTTATTTTAAAAATTGTTGACAACTAAATAAAGCCATTTAAAAATGTTCTAAAGGCCAAATAAAACACTCCTGAAGGTGGTATATACTCAGCAATTCAACAGGTTTTTGTTTTCCATAATATAATATACTAATTTTTATTGTCTCCATCAAGGGTTCATACAGATCTAATTGGAGCAATGTTGCATAATTTCTGGAGGTTAATTGTTTTAGTATATTTTCACACCCTATGTAATACTGAATGTACGTTCTTGTTGCAGGATATGGCCAGACAGGGCCCATGTCTCAGAGAGCAGGTTATGATGCTATTGCCTCTGCTATGTCTGGTCTGATGCACATTACAGGGCCCGAGGTAGGTATTCCTAGAACATTCTTTTATTTATTTATTTATTTTACATGTAGATCCCAGTTCCCTCTCCCTCCTTCCCTTCCTCTTACCCTCTCTGCCCACTCACATGCACCCTGACCACCCTCCCTTCCCATTCTCCAACCCCAACTCCACATGTAGGGCAATGCCATCCAGGTGGGGTCATGTAAATCAGTCAAGTCATTTGAAGTAGGGACTAGGACTTCTGCTCTAGGTTAAGGCAGTATCCCTCCATGGGGGATGTGTCCGCAATGTCCTTTTGTGCACCAGGAATAATACATCCTGGTTCCACTGTCTGAGGTCCCTTAGGCTGCTCAGTCCTTCTAGCTGAGACCCATATTCAGGGTTTCTGAGTCAGAACCATGCTGGCTTCCCAGCTATTAGTCTGGGGGCCCGTTAGCTCCTCGTTCAGGTAAGCTGTCTCTATGTGTTTCTGCAACCTGGTCTTGTCCTCTCCCTCTGCATCTGGATTCATGTTCGACTCAGGGTTTAGTTATGGGTGTTTGCTTCTGTTTCCAACAGTTACTAGATGAGGGCTCCATCGTGGTGAATTAGTTAGTTGTTGATCTCACTATCTGGAAAGGGTATTTATGGTAGCCTTTCCACGGTTGCTCAAATTATTAGTTGGTGGCAGCCTTGTAGGTCTGGATTTCCTCTGTGTCTGTTGTTATGTTCCCCTTTTCATTTCTGATTTTGTTAATTTGCATGTTTTCTCTCTGCTTTTTCATTAGTTTGGATAAAGGTTTGTCTATCTTGTTGATTTTCTCAAAAAGCCAACTCTTTGGTGCATTGATTTTTTGGTACTGTTTTTCTGGTTTCTATTTTGTTGATTTCAGCCCTCAAGTTGATTATTTCCTGGTGTCTACTCCTCCAGGGTGAGTTTGCCCCTTTTTGCTCTAAGGCTTTCAGTTGTGCTGTCAATTCTCTTATGTGACCATCCTCTGTTTTCCTCATATGCGCACTTAGTGCAATGAACTTCCCTGGTAACACTGTTTTCAAGGTGTCCCATAAATTCGGGTATGTTGTGTTCTCATTCTTGTTGAATTTTAGAAAGTCCTTAATTTCTTTCTTTATTTCTTCTTTGACCCAGGAGTGGTACAATTGTACATTGTTCAGTTTCCATGAGTTTGCAGGTTTTCTGCTATTTGTGTTGTTGTTGAATTCCAATTTTAAATCATGATGGTCTGATAAGATACAGGAGACTTTTCCAATTCTCTTGAATCTGTTGAGGTTTGTTATGCCACCTAGTATGTGGTCGATGTTAGAGAAGGTTGCACGTGGAGCAGAGAAGAAGGTATATTCTTTTGTGTTTGGATGGAATGTTCTATAGGTGTCTGTTAACCTCAGTTGAGACATAACTTCTGTTAGTTTTTTTGTTTCTTTGTTGAGTTTCTGATTGGCGGTCCTGTCTAGTGGTGAGAGTGGTATGTTGAAGTCTCCCACATAAATGTGTGAGGTTTTATGTGATGTTTGAGTCTTAGTAGCATTTCTTTTATGAATGTGGGTGCCTTTGTATTTGGGGCATAGATGTTCAGAATTGAGACTTTTTTTTGATGGATTTCTCCTGTGATGAATATGAAATGACCGTCTTCATCTCTTTTGATTAATTTTGGTTTGAAGTCTAACTTGTTAGATATTAGGATAGCCATGTCTGCTTGTTTCTTGGGTTCATTTGATTGGAAGATCTTTTCCCAACCCTTTACCCTGAGGTAATGTCTATCTTTGAAGCTTAGATATGTTTCTTGTATGCAGCAGAAGGATGGATTCTGTCTTTGTAACCATTCTGTTAGCCTGTGTCTTTTTATAGGTGAGTTAAGACCATTAATGTTGAGGGTGAGTAAGGCTGTTTGATTGTTGATGCTTGTTTGTTTTAGATTTGTTTTTGACAGTGGTGTTTGGCAGTGAATATATTTGTCCTGCTTTACGCGTGGTTTCTGGTGTAGTGAGATTATTTGTTGCCTACATCGATGTGGGTATAGTTAATGTCTTTGGGTTGAAGTTTTCCTTCCAATACTTTCTGTAGGGCTGGATTTGTAGATACGTATTGGGAAATTTTGGCTTTGTTATTAAATACCTTGTTTTCTCCATCTATAGTGATTGAGAGTTTTGCTGGGTATAGTAGCCTGGACTGTCGTCCATGGACTCTTATTACTTGTAGAATATCTATCCAGGACCTTCTAGCCTTGAGGGTTTCAATATAGAAGTCAAGTGTAATTTTGATAGGTCTGACTTTATATGTTACCTGTGCTTTTTCCTTCGCTGCTCTTAATATTCTTTCTGTATTCTGTATGCTAGGTGTTTTGATTATTATATGTCGAGGTGTCTTTTTTCTTTGGTCCAGCCTATTTGGGGTTCGGTATGCTTCTTGTACTTTCATGGGCATGTCCTTCTTCAGATTTGGAAAGTTTTCCTCAATGATTTTGTTGAATATGTTTTCGGTACCTTTGAGCTGGGCTTCCTCACCTTCCTCTATGCCTATTATTCTTAGGTTTGGCCTTTTCACGGTGTCCCACATTTCCTGGATGTTTTGTGTTAAGGATTTGTTGGATTTATGATTTTGTTTGGTCGATGAATCTATTTCTTGTAGTTTATCTTCCGTGCCTGAGATTCTCTCTTCCATCTCTTGAATTCTGTTGGTTATGCTTGAGTCTGTAGTTCTCGATTTTATGCCCAGTTTTTCTATTTCCAGCATTCCTTCAGTTTGTGTTATCTTTTTTCTCCATTTCAGTTTTCAAGTTTTGAACCGTTTTCTTCACCTCCTTGTTTTTTCTTGGCTTTCTGTACTTCCTTTGCTTTCCTTAAGGAATTTGTTCATTTATTCCACTTTTTTGTTTGTTTTTTCCTCCATTTCTTTAAGGGATTTTCTCACATCTTCTTTGAGGGCCTCTATCATTTTTATGACGGTATTTTTTAAATCATTCCCTTCTGCTTCCTCTGCTTTGTTGTTGTGTTCCGTTCTAGTTGGTGTAGATTCCCTAGATTCTGGTGGTGTCATGCTTGTCTTTCTGTTGTTAGGTGTTTTCTTGTATTGCTGTCTTCCCATAGCTTCCTCCAGTAGGTGTTGGTGGGGTCTCTCCCTCTCTCTATGGTACTTCCCTGGTGGACTTAAGTGGTCAGAGATTCAATATCTGTAGCTCTGGGTGGTCCAAACTCTATAGGAGGTCTCTCCTCAGAAAGGGACCCAGGGATGGGGTCAGGGCTGAGGATCCAGTAGAAGATGCCACTAGCCAATGGCTGGAAGTAGAGGACAAAGGCTGTGCTAAAACTTGGGAAGTTTCTGCACGATAGTCTGATCTCCCTGGAAACTTGGATTCTCCAGCTGAGGCTTCTTTCTTTAGCAGAGGCCCTGCTTTGGGGGTCAAGGATCTTGCCGGCAGGAACTCAGAGTGGACCTGCAGAGATAGGTGGATCTCTGGGAGGGGCCCAGGACTCCACCAGAGGACTGGAGGTGGGGTCAGAGACCATGCAGGTGGAAATTACGGGTGGTCCCGCATGGATAGGCAGGTCTCCTTTGTTCAGAGTTGTTCAGCAAACTCCCCAAAGTAGGGTGGACTGTTGGCTCTACCCTCTGTCCCAGTGCTCAACCAGAGTGGCAGGACAGTGGGCAGGGTAGGGCACAGGGTAGGAGGGGCAGGCTCGTGGTGGGGATGGGTGGGGGTGTATCAGAGGTCCAGTGGTGCTCTCAAAGGGGACAGGACACAGGAGCAGCGGGATCAGGGGCCAACCCAGGGGTGGATGGGGAGAGGTTATAGGGGAGAGGCCACCCTAATTGGGCCCAGACTCACTTCTAGCCAGTGGGTGGTAGAAGAGGACAAAGGCTGAGCTGAAACTTGGGAAGGTTTTGTAGGATAGTGGGATCTCACTGGAGACTGGGACTCTCCAACTGAGGCCTCTTTCTTTAGCAGAGGCCCTGCTTTGGGGGTCAAGGATCTTGCTGGTGGGAACTCCGAAAAAATTTTCTTAAAGTGACTGACATAGTTGTGTAGTTGTGTATTACAGTCTGAATTATTTGACACTATAGTCCATCTCTATTGATGGTGTGTTGCAGGATTTCTAAAAGAATATAGGTGTCCAAATGAGTTTAGTTAGATCAAAGCAAAGACTTTTGGGGAAAATGACATGAATATTATTAAAATAAAACAAGCTCAGTATAACAGCCTACTAGATAGAACTAAAAGGCATCCATTTAAAAACAAATGGGGTTGGTAGGCTTAAAGACCTTCTACATCAGGTATCCCTACCCTGAGTTACTTTCTTTAGTTAACTCTAGGCAGATCACTGCACTGCTAGGGTAAACTGAGGCAGAGTGACCTCTTTTAACACCTTATATTTAATTCAAAGCAACTATGAGGTTCTAATGTCTTAAGATACAAGGCTCTTTGTACTTCTATCTTTTGATGTTTCATTTTTAGTCACGGAAAAAATGTATACAGCCTTTCCTTAAAATAATGCGGGGGTCATTTTCCTTTTGTTCACTGAGAGAACAGAGTATAGACATTATCTCTCTTTGTTCAATCTCTAGGTTTTCTTTTGGGAAAGACTTCATTATTGTTAGCAATTGTATTTAAAAGGACTGCACTCAATTGGGAATATGTGAAAACATTTGGGACCTATCAATTCTTATCCAAGTGCTGAACAGAATGAAAAAGTACTCAGGCGAAGGACTTCTGTGGCTCCATTGGTGAATTGCAACTGCACTGCAATCTGATAGGGAAGCCACATAGTGTATTCTCAGCCTTGTGACTTTCAAAGTTTATTTCTTAGTTTCAATTGATTTTTTTTCACCTACTTTTCCCCTTCATACCCACTTTACCACAGTACACACACACACACACACACACACACACACACACGCACGCACGCACACATATTTATTTCTGAACATTCTTACTCCTACTTTCAGTCCTCTCTCTCTGTCTCCTTTTGTATTGGCCACCTTCCCATTTCCCCAACTAATATCTCATTTCCCACATTTCCCCTTTCAT